TTTTCACTGTGATGCTAGGCAAGTCCCTAGACCACACTTTTCACAGGTGGTCACTAATTATCTGTTCTTCTTTTTCTGTTTTCCTGATTTGAGACCCTGGATCTGATTTGCAGGAGTGTTTAGCACTCACTGCTGCAACTGAAGTCAATGAGAGCTGTGCTTTATATAGAGCACTATATAAATGTTCAGAACTCTGACAACACAGGTTCTAGGTGTCTCAAGTTAGACACCACATAGGTGGAAATTTTTGGACCTTATTCCCTCTGTGCCTCAGTTTTCCATATGTAAACTGGGGATATGACCCCCTCACCTCCCAGGGGTGTTGTGATGATAAACTAACGTTTGTGAAGCAATCAGATACTATGCTAATGAGCACCATAGACAAGCTCATGAGGAAATCAATGGTTCTGTCTTCAGAGCAGGATTTGACTGGTGTGAGGTAAAAAAGGCATGGGGCCACACATTGAGCAGTGCGGAGAAAACAAAATGTAGACCAGCTGGCCATTCCCTGAGCACTGTCCACCAGTGCACTTACAGATTTCTTAGCGGTTCTGAGAACACAGCTCTCAGTGATTTCAGTTGGAACTTAGGAGCTCAGCACCACTAAAATCAGGCCTTTGATATATAGTACTTAATATATAGTATGTTTTTGTTTCATAAGAAAACTATTTTGTTACTTAAAAAAGCTTTCCCCCCCCCACCTTTTATGTCTGTAGGGTTTAATGACTTTGCTCTACCTCCTTGTGGAAGATGTCTTTCTCCTCATTAATTACTACAGCTTCAACTACTGGCTGTATGTTGGGCTGTCTATTGCAGGATTAATATACCTGAGACATACTCAGCCTGATAGGCCACGGCCTATTAAAGTAAGTACATTACAGAAGAAAATAAAACATAATATACAGTCAATGCATCTGTTTGTATATACATTACAGTATTGGCAGGGCCGGCTCCAGCTTTTTTGCCGCCCCAAGTGGCGGAATAAATAAATAAATAAATAAATAAAAAGCCGATCGACTACAAGTGGAGCGATTGAGGTGCCGCCGAAGAAGAAGAGAGGGACCCGAAGGACCCGCCGCCGAATTGCCGCTGCAGACCAGGAGGTGCCGCCCCAGTAACGTACGGAGTGCCGCCCCTTTCTATTGGCTGCCCCAGGCACCTGCTTCCTTCTCTGGTGCCTGGAGCTGGCCCTGAGTATTGGTACTAAGGATGTGTCAGAACTTCCCTTATATGCTACTCTTTTAGCCACAAAAGTCCTTTTAACATACACTGTCACAAGTTAAGGAGCAAAATGTATCCCAGCTTTCAGAAGGATATCTATTACGGCATTTTTGCTATATATAGTATAAAAATTGACATTTATTGATTTTGTGACTCATTTTTGCTTCTGTTCAACTTAAAACCCTCTTCGTTTTTAAAATGAAATTGTCTAGGCTCCTTAGTCCATAGTGTGTAGCTGGATAGGCCCTTATTTTTGTGTAGTCATTTTTTCTCATAATGGATCTTTACATTGCCATAGTTACAGGGTGCCTAGGGCTCTGGCACAGTTGGGTATTCAGGTTTGATTACACCTCTTATAGTTTGGGAAATTCTGAGCTGCCAGACAATAGTTCCACCTCTCCTTCGTTTGTAGGACTAGTACTTTACTTCCTCTTCCCTTCATCCATATATATTTTGCCATCCAAGACACACATGGTAGTAGGAAAGTGAGGTGTATTAATGCTACTTGGGTCCTCCAAGAAATGGTACCCTATACACTCTTCAAGTATAGAGGAGTGTTACATTCAGTCAGACAAGTGAATTTAGAATACAAATTAATACCCCTTCACGAGCTTTTCCAAAGACGTTTTTATTTTTGACTCTGTCTTGTCACAGTCTCCTGTACCATCTTTACCAGCATCAGTTTTTGTTTGTGTGTTATTAAAGGGCAAAATGTTTTGATTCCTATCCAGCATCTACAACAAAAATAGAACTCCTGTGTACAATCAGCATTAAAGTTCATTCTCTAAAGCTAGTAAACTTTCTAATTCTCCAAAGCTAGTCAATTTTTTTGAAATTTCAAGTTTGACAAGATCTTTCATTCACATTTTGAATGTAAAAAGACAACAAAAAACCCACCTCACAACAACCAACAAGGGAAATTTTGCTCAATCTTTTTCCTGTTTTTTGACCAGCCAGTTCTGCTTTCTGTTGGACATCAGACCGATGAAACACAAACTGTTCATGGGTCTGCTGCAGCCCACAAATCTTGAAGTTGTAAAAATGAACTATTGTATTCCACGCTTTGCCATATGCAGCCCTGCTTGACAACAAATATCCTTGATAAAACGTACTGTCTTCACACTTAATTTACAAACTCTCCAGATAATAGGCAGAAAAGAGGAGAGAGGGTGAAATCCTGGCCTTATTAAAATCAATGGGAATTTTGCCATAGACTTCAGTACACCCAAGATTGCACCCAGAGAGTTTATCTAAGCTGACTGTGGGTGCCAAATTATTAATTTCTATTATTCTTTGCCTGCTTAGCTGACCTCACATTTTTGCATGGAATTTTGTGCACGCACAGTGGATTGTTTTCCTCAATTTATATTTTACTTACATAAAAATAATATTTATACAAAAACTCTCTCTGTGTTATAAGTTATAGCTAGCTCTTAAAATGTCATGACATTTTGAAAGGCCATTCTTGAGAACAGTGGCTAGGTATCAAAGTGTAGATCTACTTTAAGAAATGAATCTGTAAAAAAGTTTATTGTGGGCTTCCCTACTTGTTTTCCAATTATTTCCATATCAGATTTGCTGATTTTACAAGCAAAATGATGTGTTTCTAACTACCACCTCTGCAAACTTAACTAGATTCTTGAGAGTCAAGCTGGGTTCATTCAATTTCTGACATACAAATGATAAAAATTCTACAGTAGAAGCTTAGAGAAAAAATTCCTTGCATGGTAGCACTCAGCTTCAGTGCTCTGCTCTTACTGCATTTGTGGATCTCTCATAAATGTCAATTGGAGCTGAGTTTGTGCAGTCCTGGAAACAGGATGGACAGATACAGACACACACATGTATTTACACCTGGGGGGCAGAGGGGATCCCCCAATTCTCCTCCAGACTCTTCAGGTCATTTATAATTTCCTTCCCCCCACTTTGTTGTATATGAAGGGTCCTCAAGTTAAACCAAAAAAGAGACAAAAGAAAGGTCCTTTCAAGTGAAGGGAAAGGTGGCCTGTCTCTCAGGCCATCTTTCTAGATTCAGCTCTTTAAACTTGGCCTATTAATGGGCCTATTGTCTTTTATTAGGATCTAACTCCAGCCCCTCATCTTGGGGCATCTTGCTTCACAGCTGGTCGATACAGCGTTAGCGACAGTGTTTCCCTCTTGGCTGATGTGTCTCTGTTGTCAGCAGTCTCTGAGGTGAAGCAACCCTCCTTTTCTTCACCACTCCTTTCTGTAGAAGCTTTCCCTTTTTTAGCTCCTCTCCCTCTTCCAGGCAGAGCAAGCCTTACAGGCAGGCCTCATTAGTGCTTCAGTTTGTAAGGCCTCACATTTTTCAACAGTATGTTTTGTTGTTTCTTTTAATTCATGTTGATCTTTTTGTATCTGCAGCTCAGCCTCTTCTTTCCTGTAGTATACTGTTTATGTTCCATTTTCCTGGTCCTGGTTCCTCTCTACAGCGATACAATCAATACCCTCATTGGAATTGGCATAGCCCTCTCTGGAATTCCTGCATATTATTTGGGAGTTTATTTACCATCTGAAAAGAAACCTAAATGTCTTCAGTGGCTCTCTGGTAAGCAATGTAGTTTTACATTAGTATGTGATTATGTACATCTCTACATGCAGGCACCTGTAAATACAAATTGTGAGAACCTTGTCAGAAAACAAAAAAAATCTTAGCTATTTTTCTGGATTTTTTGTAAAATTTGTTCCCTCAGAAATTTTTAATATATAATGCATTACATGTCTAGGAAGTTTTGCTGTGTTTGTTATATGTTTTAGAGGAAAAAATAACCTGAACTATGCAACTTTACAGAATTTTCCTGCATGTAGATTCAATAAAAATATTACAGTAGATTAGGGTGACCAGATGTCCCGATTTTATAGGGACAGTTCCGATATTTGGAGCCTTTTTTTATATGGGCTCCTATTACCCCTCACCCCCGTCCCGATTTTTCACACTTGCAGTCTGGTCACCCTACGGTACATTAATGATAAGTCATTATGGAGGAATAATTTACATTGGCTCGGTCAAAAGTCCTCCTAGTGTTGAAGACTGAAGAAGAGCTCTATGTAAGCTCAAAAGCTTGTGTCTCTCACCAACAGAAGTTGGTCCAACAAGATATTACCTCACCCAACTTGTTTCTCTAAAGACTAAACACACTCATTTTTGGTCTGGAGGACTGAAAGTACCATATCACTGTATTGTTTCGCTGACTGACCAATTAGTGTAGTATCTGAGTTAGAGGAGACCACCTATTTTAGTACCCAGTTAAAATGTGAATACTGCTATAATGATGGATATTTGAGATTGGTAAGGGGCTAACATTTGCATTGGGGAAAAAATTGGTGGTCCTGTAGGGCTGTACACATACTTATTTCTGGGTGCTCTCTTCCAGGAACAATTGAAAAAGTGGTTGTGGGGGGTGGGGGGGATGGGACAGATGCCATAACTTGTATAAATAAACTGATGTGAGCTGATATAAACATCAGCAGAAAGTTTCCTAAATTATTAAATCATTAATTTAGTGGACTCAGGTTCAGAAACTAGTAGCTGCAGAGGATTATGCATATATCTGCTACTGACTCACAGACTAGTTTTGAAAGGCTCAATCCTGAGCTCCTTGTTCAGTTTGATCCCAGCTCTTACAAATTTCCATTAAATTCAGTGAAGGGCTGATTAAAAATTAAGAATTTCAAAGTGGGGCTTTGATGTGTGAATGATTTACCCATTGGAAACATGGATTTAATCCCCCTCACTGAAATGTTGCAAAGCTTAATTAATGTTTGCAAAGTGCTTTGAGATCCTTGGACACAAAGTATATAAAAGACCAAAGTTCTATTGTAAGTTTGTCTCATCTATGTGTTTTTTTTTATTTTCCAGCCACAACAACAAAATATGTTCAGATGTTGTTCTACTGTTGTCTGACAGACTTGGACACTGAAGTGGATCAGACAGAAGCTAAAGCCAAATAGGGTTGTCTGGACATTTACATACTTGAAGCATTTTTAGTGTCTGAAATTCTTTGTGTAGGGTTGGTTGCACGAAAGTACCAACAATTACACTGTGCATCAGTTTGATGTTAATTATTTTTGTGCTTATTTTATTAGCCCCTTCACTGCCAAGGGTATTTACCAATCCCTGTTCTACAGGATTTTTTTCTAATTTTGTTTATTAATGCTGATTGATTACCTGGTGATTGTGAAGTGCTTTGAAAATATAAAGCACTGTATGAATAAGCTCTTCATGTTACATAAGTGTTAGTTTTTGCAAGCCTTTTGGAATAAATCTATCCAGTGCAAAGCAGAATCTTGAGAAATAAAAAGACAAATGAAAGAATACAATGCAAATCAGAAACTTACTAGATTTACATTTCTAAAGATAAGGCAGGAGAAGAAAGTCACAATATAAATTTAAGATTTGTATTGCAATTAGTAAATTTGTTTCTCAGCAAAAAAGTTTAAGTAGGCAGGCAAGCATTTTCAAGGTATAAATGCATCACTAGAACAAAAAAAATCTAATCCATGTTCCCCTAAGTAGATCCCAGCAGACACATTTAATTCAGTTACAAGAAGAATACAAGGGAAGTGGACTATCTGAAAAATAAAAGCTCTGTGCTAAACCTTATGTGAGGACATACAACAATTGTCATCTTTTTGCAGTAGAGGCATTTCAGATGACAAATTAGTTCACATAGTTGTTGTCACAGGTGTGCCAGATCTCTTGCAGATCAGCTAGTCATGGAATAGGATAAAAAGACTGCAAGTTCTACTTCAGTATATGTACATTCAGGGGTAAGCACATCACCTTTCTATAGTGCCTGTGTTCACCTACAAACATCAAAAAATGTGGCCTCATAAACCATAGTAGATATGCTGGTTGATTTTCATTTAAGAAGGAATGAAGCATCCATCTCCTGAAAACGTAGAAGACAAAATAAACATCCTGAAAGAACTATCTGGGACTTAGGCCCCAGAGGCAATTCCTCTAGCCTTTCTTGATATACACTATACTTTGTCATCCTGTAGGATGTGTTACACTTACTTTCCATAATGCTATTGGAATATATATAATATTCTGTGTGTAGCTTCATCAGTGTTCCTTTCCATAGCTCTGATCCTAAACTGATCTCTAGCTTTTAGCTTGGGGGGGGGGGGGACAACATTATCCTTCATTATTGCCTACTTGGAGAGAGCTGTGGGGAGGGAGGTTGTCATAACTATAAAGGGAAGGGTAACAGCCCTCCTGTGTACAATACTATAAAATCCCTCCTGGCCAGAGACTCCAAAATCCTTTTACCCGTAAAAGGTTAAGAAGCTCAGGTAACCTGGCTGACACCTGACCCAAAGGACCAATAAGGGGACAAGATACTTTCAAATCTTGGTGGGGGAAAGGCTTTTGTTTGTGCTCTTTGTTTTGGCGGTTGTTCGCTCTTGGGACTAAGAGGGACCAGACATCAATCCATGCTCTCCAAATCTTCTGAACAAGTCTCTCATATTTCAAACTTGTAAGTAACAGCCAGGCAAGGCGTGTTAGGTTTATCTTTGTTTTCTCAGCTTGTCAATGTACCTTTTGCTAGAGTGTTTATCTCTGTTTGCTGTAACTTTGAACTTAAGGCTAGGGGGATTCCTCTGGGCTCTTTGAATCTGATTACCCTGTAAAGTTATTTTCCATCCTGATTTTACAGAGATGATTTTTATCTTTTTTTCTTTAATTAAAAGCCTTCTTTTTAAGAACCTGATTGATTTTTCCTTGTTTTAAGATCCGAGGGGGTTGGATCACCAGGATTGGTGGGGGGAAAGGAGGGGGAATGTTTAATTTCTCCTTGTTTTAAGATCCAAGGGTTTGGATCAGTGTTCACCAGGAAATTGGTGGAGAAGTCTCTCAAGGCTACCCAGGGAAGGGAGTTAGCACTTGGGAGTGGTGGCAGCAAAACCAGATCTAAGCTGGTAGTTAAGCTTAGAGCTTCTCATGCAGGTCCCCACATCTATACCCTGAAGTTCAGAGTGGGGAAGGAACCTTGACATGGTGGCAGAGCGGTGGGATCTTTTAAAACCAAAAGCCAGTAAGATTTTTTTTTCTCCTGTGTAGCTGCTTAGAAAGCAGAACTGGGAAGGTAGATACATATCTTATTTCTTAGCCTGAAGGCAGAGATGTTAAGTTTTTTTAACAAGGGTCTTTGTTAAGAGAAGGTTTCATGCTGTGAGCAAGCAGCCAGCAAAAGGAATTTACAAGCTGAATTGTTTTTTTTTTTCTTTCTACCTCTCGGGTATAGCTAGTTAGAAAGTCTCTGTTAACTAAGCAGCCCTGAGCTGAGTGCATCCCAGTTTCAGTGAACTGCAGAGGGGGTGTATCCCAGCCTAACAAAGTAGGAAAATGAGTACCAATGACACTGCTACTAAACTAGAGCTGGCCAGACTGGCAGCAGAAGAAAGTGAAAAGAATCATAAGAGACTGCTCGAAATAAAAGAACTCGAGAAAGCAGCTACTGAAAGAGAAGAGAAAGCCAAAGAGGATGCCCACAAAAGAGCTATGGAGCAGAAAGAAAAAGAGATGGAGGAGAAGGAAAGAGAGAGGAAGCATGAACTGGAATTGGTAAGGGTTAGGCAGGATATACCAGCCAACCCTAACAACCCCTCTCCAGGTACCGCTTCCCATCCCAGAAAATTCCCCATCTACAAGGCAGTCGATGATACTGAGGCCTTCTTAGAAAATTTTGAAAGGGCCTGCCTTGGGTACAGCATCTCTACAGAACAGTACATGGTAGAGCTGAGGCAGCAGCTCAGTGGACCCTTAGCAGAGGTGGCGGCTGAAATGCCTAAGGAACACATGAACAGTTATGAACTTTTTAAAAACAAGGCCAGAATCAGAATGGGGCTAACACCCGAGCATGCCCGTCAGCGGTTCAGAGCCCTAAGGTGGAAACCAGATGTGTCATTTACCCGACATGCCTACCACATTGGGAAAAATTGGGATGCCTGGATAGCAGGAGCAAGTGTTAAATTTACAGAAGAGTTGCCCTTCCTAATGCAAATGGAGCAGTTTTTAGAGGGTGTTCCTGAGGAAATAGAAAGGTACATCTTAGATGGGAAGCCCAAAACTGTAACTGAGGCAGGGGAGATTGGAGCCAAATGGGTGGAGGTGGCAGAAAAGAAAAAAACTAGTAGCAGTTGGAATGAATATCAGAAGGGGCAACCTGAAACAAAACCCTATCACCAGGGGCAACCCAGGCCCCATCTACATCCCAAGGAAAACCACAGACGCCTTCTCACCCCACCACACCAGTCTGCCCCAACCAACCTCGCCCCATTGAACCTTAGCAGGGTGATGTTTTAAATGTAATGAACTGGGACATATAAAGGCCCGCTGCCCCAAGAACCCCAACCGATTACAGTTCATTACACCACAATCACACCAAAGATCCCCAGACCCAGATGCCTCTCAAATACCCTCGGAGTGAAGGGAAACCTTGAGAGTGGGCAGAAAGAAGGTTATCGCGTGGAGGGACACTGGGGCCCTAGTGTCCACTATCCACCAATCCCTAGTGGACCCCAAACTCATCAACCCAGAGGTTCCGGTGACAATTCAACCCTTCATGTCACACTCTTTAACCTTGCCTACAGCCAAGTTGCCTGTCCTGTACAAGGGCTGGTCAGGAATGTGGACTTTTGCAGTCTATGACAATTATCCCATCCCCATGCTACTGATGGGGCCAAGAGGGTGGGAATGGTCACCCGCAGCCAGGCTAAGCAAGCTTTCACATCCATCCCTGTTCCTGAGCTGTCCACCAGGCCCCGTCTGTGTTACCAGAGACCCAGACAGAAGTGATGGAACCAGATCCCCTGCCAACGACTCCAACAGCCATAGTGGATCCAATCCCAGAGACCCAGCCAAAGCCAGTCCCAGAACTGGAACTGGCAACGCAACCAGCACCAGAACCATTGCCACCACTGAGTCCAGTGCTTGCAAACCCGTCTACAACTCCAACACCAGAGGGCACCAGCGAGCCTGAACTGGCTGAACCCTACCCAAGAGGCTCAGCCAGAGCCTGAAATACCACATAGTGCACCAGCGGAGAGCGGTTCACAGTCAATGGAAACAACCCCACCACCTGCACCGCTTCCAGAGGGACCAAGCCCAAGTCCGCAGTCCAAGGAGGAACTGATGTCTCCAGCATCAAGGGAACAGTTCCAGGCCGAGCAGGAAGCAGATGACAGCCTTCAGAAAGCTTGGGTGGCGGCACGGAGCACCCCACCACCTCTCAGCTCTTCTAACTGATCCCAGTTTGTTGTAGAACAAAGACTTTTATACAAGGAGACTCTTTCTGGTGGACACCAGGAAGACTGGCATCCTCAAAGACAGTTGGTAGTTCCAACTAAGTACCGGGTAAAGCTCTTGAGCTTAGCCCATGATCATCCCAGTGGCCATTCCGGGGTGAACAGAACCAAAGACCCGTTGGGGAAGTTCTTCCACTGGGAGGGAATGGGCAAGGACATTGCTAATGATGTCCGGTCTTGTGAGGTGTGCCAACGAGTGGGAAAGCCCCAAGACCAGGTCAAAGCCCCTCTCCAGCCACTCCCCATAACTGAGGTCCCATTTCAGCGAGTAGCTGGGGATATTCTGGGTCCTTTCCCAAAGAAGACACCCAGAGGAAAGCAGTACATACTGACTTTCATGGATTTTGCTACCCGATGGCTGGAAGCAGTAGCTCTAAGCAACACCAGGGCTAAAAGTGTGTGCCAGGCATTATCAGACATTTTTGCCAGGGTAGGTTGGCCCTCCGACATCCTTACAGATTCGGGAACTAATTTCCTGGCAGGGACCATGAAAAGCCTGTGGGAAGCTCCTAGGGTGAATCACTTGGTTGCCACCCCTTACCACCATCAAACCAATGGCCTGGTGGAGAGGTTTAATGGAACTTTGGGGGCCATGATATGTAAATTTGTAAATGAACACTCCAATGATTGGGACCTAGTGTTGCTACAGTGGCTTTTTGCCTACAGGGCTGTACCACATCCCAGTTTAGGGTTTTCACCATTTGAACTTGTGTATGGCCGCAAGGTTAAGGGGCCATTACAGTTGGTGAAGCAGCAATGGGAGGGGTTTACACCTTCTCCAGGAACTAAGATTCTAGACTTTGTAAGCAACCTACAAAGCACCCTCCAACACTCTTTAGCCCTTGCTCAAGAAAACCTAAAGGATGCTCAGGAAGAGCAAAAGGCCTGGTATGATAAACATTCCAGAGAACGGTCCTTCAAAGTAGGAGACCAAGTCATGATCTTAAAGGCGCTCCAGGCCCATAAAATGGAAGCGTCGTGGGAAGGACCATTCATGGTCCAGGAGCACCTAAGAGCTGTTAACTATCTCATAGCATCCTCCACCTCCAACATAAAGCTTAAGGTATACCATATTAATTCTCTTAAGCCCTTTTATTCCAGAGAATTAAAGGTTTCCCAGTTTACAGCCCAGGGAACAGATGACGTGGAGTGGCCTGAAGGTGTCTACTACGAAGGAAAAAGTGACGGGTGGCGTGGAAGAGGTGAACCTCTCCGTGACCCTTGGATGTCTGCAGCGACAGCAGATCAAGGAGCTGTGCACTAGCTTTGCACCCATGTTCTCAGCCACCCTAGGACGGACAGAACGGGCATACCACTCCATTGACACAGGTAATGCTCATCCAATTAGAACCCCACCCTACCGGGAGTCACCTCATGCCCAAACGGCTATAAAATGGGAGATCCAGGACATGCTACAGATGGGTATAATCTGCCCCTCTAAGAGTGCATGGGCATCTCCAGTGGTTCTAGTTCCCAAACCAGATGGGGAAATACGCTTTTGCTTGGACTACCGTAAGCTAAATGCTGTAACTCGTCCCGACAACTATCCAATGCCATGCCCAGATGAGCTATTGGAGAAATTGGGACATGCCCAATTCATCTCTACCTTAGACTTAACCAAGGGTTACTGGCAAGTACCACTATATGAACCCGCCAAGGAAAGGTCAGCCTTCGTCACCCAGGCAGCGGTGTATGAATTTAATGTGCTCCCTTTCAGGCTGCGAAATACACCCGCCACCTTCCAAAGAC